ACCCCTGCCGTGCCCGCCCCACAGTCACCCTGAGCCCCCCGTGCCCTACAGACGCCCCACATCCACCCCCTACCCCACAGCTACCCAACATCCACCCCATGGCCACCCTACGCCCCATGCCACCCTATATGCACCCCTACCCATCCCATGTCCACCCCATGCCCGTCCTATGCCCCGTAGCCACCCCATAGCTGCCCCACATCCATCCCATACTCCATCCCCACCCTGTATCCACCCCACGCCCACCCCACAGCTCCTCAACATCCACCCCACTGCCACCCTATGCCCTATGCCCACCCCATATGCACCCCATGCCCACACCATGCCCCACAGCTCCTCAATATCCACCCCACGGCCACCCTATGCCCCACGCCCACCCCATATGTACCCCACACCAGCCCCTCTCCCAGCCCCACGGCAGCCCCTGCCCCACCTTGCCCAGCTGGACCTGCTGCTTGTCGAGGAAGTGGTGTTGGAGGGCACCGTGGGGCAGAGCGCCGTGGGGCAGGGCCTGGGGGCTCTGGGGCAGCGGGGACGACTGCGTGCGGCTCAGGGGCCGGTGCCGCGGCAGCTTGCTCACCGTCCGCACGCTCCCCGCACGCTCCCCCGTCACCAGCGGTGACTGCCCGTGCAGCGGCACTGTGGGAGGCGGCAGCCGTCAGCAGGGCACCCCAAAACTCCCCCAAAAACCATCTGGGGAGGGGGTTTGCAAGCAGAGGAAACCGAGGCAGAGCAGGGGACTCACCGGCGATGAGGGTGCTCTGCTGGCGTGCTTGCTCCAGCAGCAGGACGTGCTGCAGCAGGGACGCGGGGCCGGCAGGGGGGTCCCCCTCCAGGGCCACCCCCAGCAGGCAGCCCGGGATGGAGGAGGTGCTCAGGAACTTGCCGGTGAGGGCGGCCCCGGGGCGCAGGGCGGCCACCGCCGGGCGCTCGGCCTCCGCCTGCGGCGACAGCTTGGGGGACGCCTGTGGGGACGGAGGATGGCACCGTGGCCCCCCCGGCAGCCTTGCACGGGGGCAGAGGGATGCTCCCACCCGTTGTCACCCCTTGAGGTGCTGGGTGACACCCCCACCCCAACCCTGCACACCCCAGCCTGGCAGCAACCCAAACTGGGGACACTGGGGTGCTGCCAGTCCTCCCCCCACAAGCCTCAGCTTCTCTCCTGTGGGGAAACTGAGGCACAAACCCAGCCCTGGGGGATATGGGGCCAGCCGGACACCGGGGCTCCTGGCTCAGACCCCCCCTCCCACCCAACCGTCACCCAAGGGCACAGGGTCCCCTGTGGGGCACCGGGTCCCCACGCCAAGCCTGCGAGGCGCCAGGTCCCCAGGCCACCCCTGTGGGACATCAGGTCCTCGTGCCATCCCCCATGGGGTCCCCACATCGCCCCTACAGGGTTGCAGGTCCCCGTGCCACCCCACGGGGCGCAGGGTCCCCGCGCCCAGCCCCCGTGCTGGCCCCACTCACGTTGAGGTGGGAGTTGGTGACGGTGACGGTGGCCTGCAGCCCCAGGGAGATGTTGGGCAGGGACGGGGACGTGTAGAGGCTGAGCTGGCTGGCGCCGTCAAGGGTGAGGGCTCGGTGCTGGGGCAGGAGCTGCTGTGAGGAGAGGGGACACGGCACTGACATGTCACGAGCACGCACGTGCACGCATGAAGACACGCCACAGACGTGCACGATCGGCGGTTCTGGGAGCACACGCTGGCTGCGTGCACCTGAGCACACGCGTGCATCTGGACACGCACACGCTGGCTTCGCGCACTTGAGCACACGTGTGCACCCCAAACACGCGCGTTGGCTGCACACACCTGAGCACACGTATGCACACTGAACGTGCTGGCTGCACGCATCTGAACACACATGTGCGTCCTGAGCATGCTCACATCACACACCTGCACGCGTGCGTACACACTGAGCACGCACCCTGGCTGCACACACCTGAACACGCGTACCCTGAGCACGCTCGCAGCACGCATCTGAACACATGCGTGCCCCCCAAACACGCTCACAGCACACACCTGAGCACACAGGTGCACCCCGAGTACCCTGGCTGCACACACCTGAGCACACGTGCGCAGCTTGAGCACGCTCACAGCACACATCTGAACACACGTGTGCCCCGAACACGCTCACAGCACACATCTGAACACACGTACCCTGTGAACACACTCACAGCACACATCTGAACACACGTGCCCTGTGAACACACTCACAGCACACAGCTGAACACATGCACGCGCCATGAACGTGGTCACAGCATGCACCTGAACACACGCGTGCACCCTGAGCACGTCACAGCGCACACCCCGGACACGCGTGTGCCACCCCGCGGCAGCTCCTACCTCGGCGTGGATGTTGGGGACGGAGCCGGTGAAGCCGTTCTCGGCGATGGCGCTGTGGGAGCTGTTGGGGGAGCTGGGCCCGGAGCCCGGGGCGCTGCTGCACACCGAGGACACTGCGGGGCCGGCGGGCGCCACGGGGGGCCACCGCCACCGCCCCCAACCCTGCCCGCCCCCATCCCTGCCTCAGTTTCCCCCACCAGGGTGCACAGCCACGGGAGGGACGGGGTAGCTTGCACCCGAGCGTGCGTGCACACACAAAGGTGTGCAAATACACAAGCGCACGCATGCACACGTTGCACAAGCACGTGTGCGCATGAGCACACACGTGCACATAGGTTGCAAAAGCACGCGTGTGCACACGTATTACACAAGCACACATATGCACACGCGTCGCACAAGCACTGGTAGCCGGGGAGAGGACGCAGGGTCCCGGCTGGAGGCCCCCATCACCGCACGGGCAACACCCAGCGACTCGGGGAAACTGAGGCAAGCGGCGTGGCCCAGCCCGCGCGGCCGCGGCTCACCCGTGATCTCGATGGCTCGCTTCTTGAAGGTGCTGATGACAGTGCCGTCCTTCCTCCGCAGCAGGGGACTGCTCCTCCTCTCCGCTACCTTCTGTTTTAACCGCGAGCGCACTTTCAGGTTGGGTTCGGAGGCTGCGGGGGGGCACCCGGGAAACGGAGTTAGCCCCGGCACGGTTCCCGGCATCCTCCCCCCGCCGGCGGTCTGGCACCCACCGGTTTTGCGGAGCGGGAAATCATCCCGGCTGTCGTAGGTGCCGAGGAGGGGGAGTTTGTAGGATGGGGGTGGCCCCGGGCCGCCGGGCTGGGGGGGGGGAC